GAGGAGTGTTGTTTCCCGGTTCGGTGGTGGGTGGTCAAAGTCACGCTACAGATGCGGGCGAGGTCTTTTTGGGAAATCACTTTTCAAACAAGGCATGAATCAGCATTGACCTTCAATCGTTTGCCTTGGTTGTTTCGTTTCCCTCTGTTTTGGTTTCAGGTTATTGGGAAAGTGGCACGGGGGGTGCTTGTCGCGGTGGGCGATAACTTCAAGCCTTCAAATTGCACCCGTTCAAAAGCGTTCCGAGACCTAATTGCCTCGCTCCATCTTCATCTCAAACAGTGCGAGCATGCCAATGCCTGAGCATTGGCCACCAACGTCGGACGAACATTTTCCACTGTGCCTAGATTAACAAGCCGGCATGGAAGCAGTCCTAAACGGAATCGACACCTGCCCCTTCGGGGCCCTCGGACTCCTCGGCTCTCTTACTCTTACAGGATTTGCGCTTCAACGGGCTGTGGATGGTCCTTCAAATGCGCCAGTAGGACAGTATCACGCTCAATCCTGGAGGCGCTGCGTTCAAATCGAAAGCCCGCTGGCATTTGTGAACGTCGTTGTTATTGTGGCAGAAGCAGTTATCTATCGCCGACGCTTTGGGTGGTGCGAATGGATGCACATAGGTGGGGTCGTGAGCCCTACGCTATTGATGTGCATTTTGTGGGACTATTTCGACAAAAATTGTTCTAACAGTGCCAAATTGCTGCCGGGCATGTGTCTTGTGGTCCTGGCTCAAGTAGGCCGTCTCGTAGCGGTTGTGGTCTCCTCAGCAACACCGACTGTCCTTGATCTGACAGCAAGTATTCTGCTTCTTTTACTATTTTTTTGGAAAGTCATGGTATTAACTGTTTGTAAATGCACGCCACGGAGGGCCAGCAAAGAAAAGAAGGCGGCAGACAAGAGGAAAAACCGCAGTGACGTGTTCGACCGCGTCGGCGGGGACAACATGGAGAGCGCGCGAGAAGCTCTACTATCAGAGCCATCTTCGAAGGAGTTCGATGTAGACATTCCTCAGTCGCCGATGGACCGGGCAGGAGTGTGGTCTTTGCTGGGGTTTTGCTGGGTGACGCCGCTCCTGACCACGGGTGCGAAGCGGCAGCTCGACCTGGCGGACATCCCGGTGCTGGGGGCCCGGGATAGCACCAGGGGCTGGAGCGAGCGGTTTCAGGAGGCTCTGGACGTGGAAAGGGAAGCGGCCTGTCAGGGCAAGCGGAAGGCGTCGTTGCTGCGAGTGGCGCACCAGGCCTTCGGGGCCGAGTTTTATTCCTTCGCCGGCCTCCAATTGCTCAACGACTTGCTCGGTTTCTCGGGCCCCATCTTGCTCAAATCGCTCGTCACCTATGTCGAAGACTACCATGCTGGGCTTACTACTATTCGGCACGGCCTTGTACTGCTCCTCGTCTTAGTCTTGTGCTACTGGGCGGCAGCGATCCTGTCCACCCAGTACTCTCTGCGCATGGCGCGAGTCCAGCTCCACGTCAGAACAGGGCTGACCATGGCCATCTACCGACAAGTGCTCCGGTGCCGAGCGGCACAAATTGGTGGGAGCGCTGGAGGTGGCAATGGGCGGGAGGTTGGGGAAAATGAAGAAGGTAGAGGGGCGCGGGAAGGAGATGATGGGGGAGGAGCCCGTCCACATTGCGCGAAGGGAGACACGGAAGGCTCCTCTGGAGAGGGCCGCAAGCAAGGACAGCAGACTGCCAAAGCACCGACAAAGCTGGTACCCGCCCTGTCAACGGGGGGGATTACAAACCTCATGACGGTGGACGTGCAGCGCATTCAGGACGCGGCCTCGTCTTTCAACACGTTCTGGAGCCTGCCCATCCAGGTGGGCTTTACGCTCTTCCTTCTCTACCGCGAGGTCTCCTACGCCTTTGTCGCCGGTCTGGTAGTCCTGGCGCTCATGGTACCGGTCAACGTAGCCCTTGCCTCCGCCATCACCCGCGTGACCCGACGGCAAATGACCTACAAGGACGCCCGCGTCCAGGCCTGCGACGACATGCTCCATGGGATCCGGACCTTGAAGCTGCTCGCATGGGAGGACCACCTCGCGCGGCTGCTGGGCCGTCTGCGGGGCCAAGAGGTGCGCTATCTCGCCCAACGGAAGTACCTGGATGCTTGGTGTGTCTACTTTTGGGCAGCGACGCCGGTCGTCACCTCGCTCGCTACCTTCGGCGCGGTGGTGCTGAGAGAGCATTCCATCACACCGGCCTCCGTGTTCACCACCATCGCCTTGCTGAACATGCTGATCTTTCCCATGAACGCCTTCCCATGGGTCATCAACGGTCTGATGGAAGCGAGGATATCACTGGGGCGGTTGCAAAGCTTCCTCCTAGAAATACCGGAACTGTCAAGGTACCACGTGGTAATTGAGGAGGCAGGGCCGCACGGAAAAGGGCATTCGGGAAAATGTTATGCACCTTTGGCAAATGCAGAAAGAGGGGTGCTAGCTATCGAGGCTAATGGATCTTTTGCCTGGGATGTAAGCGATCATAGGGGCCCAAATTGGAAAGAAGTAGCTGCGCCGGTGAACGAGGCTGGTCTAGACAAGCAGCAGCGATGCACATCGCTGAGCACCGATGAGATGTTCAGAACTGCGCCATTGCCTGTACGTGAGTTGGATATTGAGACGATGGAAGCACACGCCGAATTGAACTTAGATTCGTCCGTAGATATTGGCCCCAGGAGCTCAATCGATGAATCCGCTGACTTTGGCTCCTTGACTACTCCCTCCTCTGTTTTCGAAATCCCTGATCTACGATTTTGTGTATCCTGGGGAGAGATCGTGGGCATTTATGGAAAGATTGGTTCAGGTAAATCCACCCTCTTGGCGGCCCTGTTGGGCGAAACTTTCGCGAGCCCCGGCAGTCGTGTGATCCTTCGTGCTCGTCGACGGGCGTATGTTGCACAAAAACCCTGGTTGCAGCGTGGCAGCGTCCGAGACAACATTGTGTTTGGGCTGCCTTATGATGGGGTCCGATTTCAAGCCGTGTTGCAGGCCTGTGCCCTGCTTCCGGACTTGAAGACGCTGCCTGACGGAGACCAGACTGAGATTGGAGAGCGTGGAGGGACTTTGAGCGGGGGTCAGCGCTTGCGAGTGGCACTGGCTCGGGCACTCTACAGTAAAGCGGATTTGTATCTATTGGACGACCCCTTCAGCGGACTGGACGGTCAGACGGCTTGGCATGTGGCCCGCGAGGCGGTGTATGGAATGATGCGACGAGAGGGGGCCACGGTGGTGATAGTCTCCCACGCGCTCCCTCTTTGGGCAAGTGTGACTCGGTGATCAGGATGCAGGCGGGGCGAATGGTGGAGAGACTCCGGTTCAGAGCAAAGCCGGACAAAAGTGTAGCACTGACAGGAGATGCTACAGGTAATGGCGGCTTTGAAATCCAGCCCGGTGCCCTTACCACGCACCTTTCTGATACACCAAAGCCACATTTATTAACATTGCCCGCCTCCAAGGAAAATTTGTCATTGGTGGATACAGCCGGTGCAGTCGACGCGCCGATGGCATTAGCGCAGGAAGAGAATCGAGAGATGGGCCACGTGAAATACAGCGTGCTGAAGTACTACAGGAGAGGTATGGGTCACGGTTTGACTGCAGGACTCCTCATCTGTTTATCCGGCATGCAACTCTCGGCCAACGCTTTCACTTACTGGCTGAGTCTATGGTCGAGCCATACCAGTGATTACACACCTCAAAAATTTTTGGTCGTGTCTGGAACAATTGCGGTCATCAATAGTCTGTTCACCTTCCTTCGTTCATTCCTTTTCGCCTACGGGGGCCTCCGTGCGGCCCGCCGACTGCATGATCAGCTTCTTCGAGCAGTCCTTGGCGCCCCCATGGCGTTTTTCGAAGCCCATCCTGTGGGTCGAGTCTTGAATCGTTTCGCACAGGACACGTATATCATCGACGATTCCCTTCCTTTCATGCTGAACATTTTTCTTGCACAAGGTGTGGGGCTCATTGGCACAGCAATTGTTCTTCTCTTCGCCTCTCCGTGGAGTGTGGCAGTCTTGGTGCTAGTTGCTATCGTTTATCAACGCCTTCAAACCTTCTACAGAGCGTCCTCTCGGGAGCTCAAGCGTCTGGATGCCGTTTCAAGGTCCCCTTTGCTCTCCCACTTCAGCGAAACAATAAGTGGGGCTTCAACAGTGCGCGCTTTTGGTGCCACGGACGCCTTCATAGGCCGAAGTATCGAGATGATGGATGCCAATCAACGGGTAGGATTTATAGGAAATGCTGCGTCCCAGTGGCTGGGCTTCAGGCTGCAAGTGTTTGGCCTGTTGGTTGTGGCATCAGTGGCGGTCTGGGCAGTGGGATCATGTGTGATCGATCACCCAGTATCAGCGGGACTGATTGGATTGTCGCTAAGTTACACATGGCCGCTTGTGGGTAATTTGAGTGGTCTTCTGAATGCGTATACAGAGACAGAAAAAGAAATGGTAGCAGTGGAACGGGTGCATGAGTATACGACCGAGCCCCCTGAGCCCGACGTCGTTTTCAGTACAATGATCGGCAAGGGGTGCGAAGAGAATGCTGGAGTCGCAGTGGAGGTACCCCCCTCATGGCCTCAAAACGGCAGACTTGCTGTCCACGACCTCACGCTTCGCTACCACCCGACGTGGCCACCAGCTTTGGACCGGCTTAATTTTACAATCGAACCGGGCGAGAAGGTCGGATTGTGTGGTCGAACTGGAAGTGGAAAGACTACTCTATTGTCTTCAATATTTCGACTCGTTCCCTGGGAATGTGGCACAATTATAATCGATGGATTGTCCGTTCAAAGTGTTCCTCTAAAGCGCCTTCGTTCCTCTATGGCCATTATTCCGCAATCGCCTGCTCTTTTTACTGGTACCGTCCGCAGTAATTTGGATCCGAAGGAAGAGTATTCTGACGCCGAGCTTTGCGCGGCTATGCAGGCTTGTCATCTTGAAGACTTCCTTTTGGACACGATAACTGATGTCGATACTCCCAATCATCAGAAGGAAGCGAAATCTCTGTCTCCCCGATATATGACGCAATGTTTGGCTGTGAACGTAGAAGAGAACGGAAGAAACTTCTCGGTCGGGCAAAGACAGCTTCTTTGCCTGTGTCGTGGCCTGCTTAAACGAACTAAAATTGTGTGCGTGGATGAAGCAACGGCATCCTTAGATATGACCACAGACGCTCTGATGCGTCGCACCTTGGCCAGAGCGTTCAAGCATGCCACTGTGATCACCATCGCACATCGCATGTCCACGGTGCTGGATTTGTGCGACCGCGTCTTGGTGCTCTCCGAGGGCAAAGTGGTGGAGGATGGGAATCCGCAAGAGTTGATCAGAGATCCAAACAGCTGTCTTGCTCGACTGAGTGCAGAGGAGAAATTGGGAGTGAAGCACCAGCAAGAACTACGCTGTAAACAATCACATAGAAAATCAAATCAAATGTAATCTGGCCTGATTTAAAAGCAACAGAATGTGTTGTCGGCATTTCTTTCAGAAGAGGCTGCGACGATCCTCGAGGGGCTTCCACTTTCGCAAAGACGCTGTTTACATTGACCTTTTTACAAGACAATAATAATGCCCATTCTGTTTATCCGACCAGCATCAATCGTTGGGTTCCCACCGTAAGGGCTCTAGCCCCGTAGCTTGAGCGACAGGCCCAATCAACGCCCTCCCCGATATTTGCCTGATAGTTCGTGCCAGGGGTCGGCAGATATCATTTGGCATCCGCTCATCGAACGATGCCTCCGGGTCCTCCGGCTCCACGACAAGCAAATTGGCATGAAACCTCACAGCGAGTTGCACAAGGTGTGCAAAAATGCGTAGAGAAAAGTCTCTCATAATAGTTGCCGTGCAATACCCCCAGAAACCTGCCCAACTTTCAAGTCGCGCCCCTTCCTGCTGCCATCGTGCTAACAGCACGGTTTTAGAAACCAGATTTATCCGCTGGCTGAATCGAGGCAATGGAGCGGCTACTTTTCTCCGACGCTTTGCGAGTGTCCGAACACTAGTGGGATGCAGCATCTCTATACAACCATGTCTTATACTATGCTCTCCGAATTTATTGCCCATCAGAACAAGCTCAAGCTGTCCAGGTCGTCATGCCTTGTGTTTCTGAATCTGCTCCACATTCAAACCTGAGGAGGCGATTACTGCACGTGGGTTTGGCTTACAAGGCATGGGTTTCAAAATGTTACTGTCTCTCGTCGCTAATGCATTTTTCAATTCTCTTCGCTTGCAAATCCCTGGCTATTCTGTAGACAGCCTGGCTTGCAATACGCGTAGCGGGAAGCATTCCGAGGCAATCATGCAAACGTCGAGTCCCCTCTTGCATCTCTTGTAGGCAACATTTGCGTCTCCAGGGCTGCGGATACCTCAGCCAGCTCCCGTCTTGCCTGTGTGTCAACCGCTTTTCGGCCATCCTCCGCCCCGACTCCATCTAGATAGTCCATTACGCCACACACTTCCAATGTGGTCGGAAATTGCGAGTCGTCTTCCATTCTACAAGCAGAAGGGTCCGCACACCCAATGCTGCTACCCTCATTCACCTCCTTGACGTTGCCATCATCCAAGTCCTCGTTTGTCTTTGAGCCCGTCTGTGGCGGCCTTTTCGTCGCAGTACCAGCGGTAGTGGTCTCTTCGAGTACCTGACTACTCCCTTGCCTAGCACTCTGGCTTGTACTGGCGCAGGGCGTGGCATATGACGCATCTAAGCCAGACTTTCTGCACTCCATGACATCTGGGCTATACACTTGTGTCTCGAGAATGCGTCGGCCACCTCCATTTTCTTTCTTTCTTCTTCTTCTTCTGGGACTCTGTGTGCCCTCCTCGCACACAGGGTTGCATTGATTTGCACGGCGGTTTTCCTCATCACCGCTACTCAAGGCCTCGTCTCTGCCACTTTTGTAGCCACTCCCCCCCCTCCGCCTCTTGGGCTTTCAATGCCCTTGGACTCATCCTTGAGATCATGCATGTTGGCTCGTAATAAGTCGTGGTGCGCCTTCAGTGCAGGCGTTTCGTAGATAATTCCCTCCGCATGGGGGTCCTCATCATAGCGCTGAATTTTGAATTCCTCTTCCATCTCCTCCAGGCCCCTCTGTGGCTCCATCATCTTTCCTTCTGCTTGGGTTGACGGCACCACGAGGTCCATGGGGCTCCTACCTGTCCTCCGGACAGAAGACAATTGCGACTCCTCGATGAATCCTGCTTGTATCGGAGGATGGCTCTGACCACGCTTTTTGCGCAAAATGTCTCCGCTTGGAGAAAGGAAGGCGTCAGCAGGACTGGTCGTCGAGGAGCAGGAACGAGAAAGGGCGGAGGGTACGGGCGAGGGCGCGTATGTGGGGAGGAGGGAGGCACTCGAGGCCTCCGAAAAATCTGTGGAGGACAGGCGTGGGCGTTTTTTCTCGATCGAGCCGGCTGCAGGCAACGGCGATGGCATGATCGCTGCCGAGTCTGCATCCTCTCCCCGGTGTGGGGAAACGTCACCGGCCAAAAGGTCGTCAGACATGACCGAGTACGCCTGGGACGACGGCCTGATCGCTGAGTGGGCAGACGTAGACGGGACCGCTGGTAGCGGCGATGGAGCTGCTGGACTCAGACGGCTTAAGATAGGCTCCACCCTCGGTCGCTCATTCAGTGTCTCTGCGTAGGTAGATTCCTCGCTGCTTTCCCTTCTCTGGGTCAGTAATCGCGCGGCCGCCAAGTCACTCCTATCAACAGCGGAGCCTGACTCTTCTGCCATGCAATTTTCGAAGACCCCAGGTGCTGGCGGAGAAACACAGAGGCTGTCACTGACTTCTTTTCGAAGCAATGCTGCGTGTCTGCGAGTTTTGTGGCACGTTGATGCTCCAAGTGAGAGCAATATCGGCGACATTGGCGAGGTCTTGAGTAACCCATTACCCCCCTCTGTTTTAGCTCCCGCCACCCCCAGCTGCTTCTGCTGCTCCTTCCCCCCTGACTGGGACATAGATCCCACAGGACATGAAGGATGGGATGCCAAGGGAGGGGGGGAGCCCGGCGATGGCGGCGGCGGAGGAAGGGGGTGGGGATGAGGCTCGGAAGCAGCAGGATCGACTAGGAAAAGATCCTCAAATATGTCGTCGTCGCCAAGATCGATGCATGCGGTAGGCCCATGCCCTGTCAGGCATGCTTCCGGGTGGAACGCGGAAGAGGGCGCTGGGAAGGAAGAAGAAGCGTAACTTCGCTTACTCGGTGCCATGGTCAGGTTGTGGTTCACGGTGGTAGTAAGGCTTCCAAGAACGCCATGCCGCAATGCCCGTTTGCCACTGCTGCCGGAGGCTGGTGGTGCAAGTTGATCTTGAGGTTGTGGTCGCTGGCACCGCTCTTGCTGTTGACTCATGAATTGCGTCAACCGCGTCTGTGTCGAGTCAGAAGGCCCTGCTGCCGTGGAGGAAGAAGGGGCGGAGATGGCGGAGAAAGCAGACGATAACGCCGCGACGGGTTTCAGGTCCCTGTCAGAGCCATTCCCCAGGACCGCAGATCCCTTGGCAATGTCCCCCTTGACGGAGGAGGAAAGGGCCGGGTGACTGAGACCAGACCTCTCTTTCAAGCTGATGCCGCTTGTGCTGCTACTCCTGCTGCTGCTACGGTTTATGTGGGTCGTCGAGCGCCCGCGATTCAACCACTGCCCCGCTTTGCGGACTGCGGCCGTTTTAACCGATTCCATGAGCCGCGACCACGTCGAAGCATTCCCCTTCCTTGGCGGCCCATACCACATAACTCCCCTCTCCGTCCCCCGGTCCCCTCCCGTCCTTACAAGGCCGCTGCGCGGAGACTGTTGTGTGCCAGCCTTCGAGGGAGGAGTGCTCGTCAGATCCACTAGGGGGCAGTCTGACCCATTTTCGGCGTAAGAATCACTTGTTTCGACCCCACCCTTGCCTACTGCCTCATAGCAATCAGCGTCGACATCGAGCACGACGACTTCATTTCCTGCGTCCAACACCCGACTTTTTGAAGTCTCCTTCTCCGAGACATCTTCCTCGTCTCTTCTTACTTTCAGAGATCTCAATTCCACATGATCGTCTACCTCCTGTCTCGGCAGTCCTCCCATCGCCTCCTTCTCTTCAAGTCGCTCCTCCTCTCCCTCTCGCTCGTGTTTTTCGTCCGATCCCACTGCAGAATCTGGGCAACGTGGCTCATGCGTAGATTGAAGAGAGGCACTAGAGCCTCTTACATTTGTTTCTTCATCGACACGTTCTTCCTTTTTAATCCCAATTAAATTTTCCTCTACAACACCGTCTCGGCTCTCAGTTAAGGAGGAAGCCGCAGAAATTTCAGACCGGGGGGGGCAACGTAATCCTTGCTGTCTCAAAGCCCGATGAATATCGTGAAAGGAATCCAAAACCGACTTGAGCGCCCGGTTTGATCTCACGTCCTTGGGATAGACAGGGTGCTCACACTCAGGGCAGTGGCTGTTGTCGCTCATATGGTCGTCAAGGCAAGAGCGACAAAAGGTGTGGCTGCAGGGTACAGCGACTGGATCCTTGAGGAAATGTTTACTGTGTAGTGAATATGGAATAGAATCAAGATGCGGAAACATCTGAGAACGCCTACGGCGGCATTCAGGTAACAGGCGGGTGTATAGCAATGGAATAAGAAGAAAGTCCGGAAAAACACGTCAATCGGAAAGCCTGAATTACCACATGGAACAGCTGACAAGTTCCTCAATCTTGTTAATGAAGTCTTGCTGCCCTTTCGGGTCGAGTAGGCGGGCGAGGGTGTCGAGGGAGCAAGGAAGAGGAGGGGATGCCCCGGCACCCTTCTCTGCTCCTTCACCACCTCCTCTGCGGGAAGCCTTCCTCATTGTTGCGGCTGCTCCCCAGTCCCGATGTACAAGCGCCGTCTCCGCCTCGTCATAGGCCTCACTAACACTCTGAGATGGAGCGGATTGCGTAAGTTCATGAGAGAGAGATGTCGATGCAGGACTGCACGGCCTCGCGTGAAAGCCGCGGCATTACGCGAGTTCAGCGACTGCCGTCATCGGCAGCACGCAAGGGTTAGGGTTCGAAGCATTGCGCTGGAAAGGGATGGGGAGGCGGACAGACCGGAATGTTAATGACCGTGCGCCCAACCTATCCTGCTAGGTGCCCTTGGCAGCGATGTCGCCCCTCTCCCCGTGGCTCAAATGGGGCGTCGTGCTGCTGGCTTGGCAC